AGAATTAAGGATAAAAATCACACAACTACTTCAATAAATGCTCAACAAGTCTTTGATAAAATTCAAGATCCCCTCATGATTAAAAAACCCACTAAACTAGGCTTAGAAGGATTATACTTCAGCATAATACAGGTTATATATGACAAATCCATAGCCAAGATCATACCAAGTGAAGAAAAATTGAAAACACCTCTTCTAAAATCAGGAACAAGTGAAGGATGTCCACTCTGACCATTCTGATATAGTACTGGAAACTTTAGCCAGAGCAATCTGCCAAGAGAAAGAAATAAAATGGATGTAAGTGGGAAATGAAGAAGTCAAATTATTCCTGTTTTCAGATTATATAATTCAATACTTAGAAAAACCCTAATGGGTTCACTAAAAGTCTCTTACAACTGATAGACAAATTCAGCAAAGCAGCAGGGTACAAAAATTTACATACAAAAACATAGTTTTTCTACACACCAATAATGAAGTCACTGAGAAAGAAAGCAGAAAATCCCATTTTACAAAAGCTTTAAAAATATATCTAGGAATAAATCTGACCAAGGAGATTACAGTGAAAATTTGAGAAAGAAATTGTAGAAGACAAATGGAAAAACCTCCCATGTTCATGGACTGAGAGAATTAAAGTTATTTAAATAGCCATTCTACCAAAAGTAATCTACAGATTCAGTGCAAGCCCCAAGAGAACATCAATACATTCTTCACAGAACTAGAAAAAAGTTCTAAAATTCATATGGAGGCCCAAAAGACACCGAATAGCCAAAGCAATCCTGAATAAAAAGAACAATGCTAGAAGCTTCACAATATCTGATTTCAAAATATAATATAGAACTAGGCATGGTGGCACATGCTGGCCTATAATCACAGCTATTTGGAAGACAAAGGCTAGCCTGGAGAATTTAGCAAGATCTTGTCTCAAAAAAATTCAGGATGGAGGGCTGGGGATTTAGCTCAGTGGTCCTGCCTCCTGCCTCACAAGTGCAAGGACCCGAGTTCGATCCTGGTGTACCAAAGAAAAAAAATCGGGGGGAGGGTGACTCAGATGCAACTAGCTTGTACAAGGTCCTGAGTACAATCCCCAGTACTGCAAAAACAAACAAAACTATACAGCCATTGTAACAAAAACAACATGCTATTGCCATAAAAATAGGCATGTATACTAATGAAATAGACTATGTTAGTTTTCTGTCACTGGGACAAAATACCTGACATCAATAACTTAAAGGAGGAAAGTTTTCTTTTGGTTCACAGTTTCAGGGGTTTTCAGCCATGGCCTGGTGGATCCATTCCTTTTAGGACTGTGTCAAGGCAGAGCTATTGTGACAGAGGGTGTGGCAGAGGAAAGCTGTTCATCTTATGACAGCAGGAGCAGAGAGAATGTGAAAGAGCGTCCACTGCATAGCCTTCCTCCTTCTTCAGCTTCTGTTCCATCAGGGTCCCCAGGCTGTTAGACAAGGGACACTGACTATATCACAAATTCTTTCAAGTAATAAATTTTGAATAGCACTGTTTGTAATCTGGCTGGAGCAAATATTCAAATTGTGTGAGTTCAGCCAGCAAGGGACACTTTGAGGTGAAACATCCTCTGAATTCTTATTTATACCAAAATATAATGATGAGTCCAAAACTGCCTAAGTGGACAGAAAGTCTAAAAGAGGCTGCTAAGACTTTTTTTTTTCCTGGTACATTTATTTATTGGTTTATTAGTTGGTTTATTGGTACATTTTAGGTATACAGTACAGTACAGTTACATTCATCATTGGGATCTTGTACCTTTACATGACAGGTCTTGCTTCTCATTTTTTCCCCTTGTCCCTGCCCACCCTTCACCCCCTCCTACCTTCCCCATTCACAAACACTTTGTTTCCATTTTCTCATATTTTTTTCTTTTCCCTTATTACCTTTCCCCTACCCTTCCCACTTTCCCTATACCTTTAGCCCTTTTCTTCCTATTTCACATTTTCAATTATCTCATTAGGATTTTATGTACTGTTATAGTATTTCACACCAGAGAAACTATTCGGTATTTACACATGTGTGACTTATTTATTTCACTTAGGAGTATATCCTCAATATGTATCCATTTTCCTATGAATGAATCTAGTTTCTCATTCTTTATGGCTAAATAATATTACATTTTATAGAAAAACCACATCTTCTTTATCCAGTCTCCAACTGATGGGCAAATGGGCTGTTTCCAAGTTTTAGCTATTACAAACTGTGCGGCTATAAACATAGGTGTGCATATATCACTGTGATATGATTCTTTTAATTATTTTGGAAAGATACCCAGCACAGGGATGGCTGGGTCAAATGGAACATCTAGTCCCAGTTCTGTGAGGTATCTCCATATTGATCTCCATAGTGGTTGCTCCAGTCTGCATTCCCACCAACAATAGAGAGGGGTTCCTTTCTCCCCACAACCGCACCAACATTTGTTATTGTGTGATTTCTTGATAGCAGCCATTCTTTGTGGGGTGAGGTGGAATCTCATTGTTGTTTTCATCTGCATCTCTGTTCCATTTGAGGTTCAGAAATTTCAGGTGTTTAGCACCTTTTTCCTTTTTGTCTTGCAGTTTTTTCATATCTTTACTTATGTGTCCCACCCTGCCAACAAACCCAATGTTTTACATCATCTTATTAAAAATATACACTCTGTCACTACACTGTCCAAATAGTAACCACCAGCTGCATGTATTCAATATATAATTATATGAACTAAAAGGAAATAAATGTAAAATTCAGCTTCTCCAACACACCAGCCATGTTGCAAGTGCTCAATGGCCACGTGCGGCCTTTGGCTATCAAACTGGGCCATGCAGATATTGAACATTTCTATCATCATAAGATTTTCTCCTGCACTGTTTTGTAAATATTGCTTTATAGATAAATACTGCTAAAAATAAATAAATAAATACTGCTTATAAACTTTTTATAATAAACCATAGAACCATTGTCAAATATATCTCAACATGATCACGAGATGCTGATGGTCTATTATTTTGGCTTCAGCCATTTCCCAGAATAGCCTTGAACCTTGGAAATAATATGCACAGTTGAAAACTTCATAGCATTCAATAAAACATGTTCCTTAGCTCAACCTCCCAGTGCTGTCCTACATTCTCTGGAATTTTTGGTCACACCACTGACAGAGGATGCAAGGGAAATATGTTCCTTCTGTGTTCATGAGCCAATGTCAGAAGGAAGTTTAAGAAGAAACTTAACTCAAAGATGAAGCAGAGAAATGTATTTGAGGTCCAAACCTAGGATAGCAGTACACAAAGAAGGCCTCTCCCTCCCACTGCCAGGAGATCTTAAAGCTGTTCATCCTCACCATGCAGCTGTCAGCCCTCTCCAGAAACTCGCTTCCTCTGAAAAGCAATGCTTTGAGGTCCAGAGCCTTTCCCAGGGGAAGTTTACATCCAATAACTTGTCGATGGGGATTACAAAATCCAGGCCAGTCACCTTCATCCCCAAGGTCCACTCAGTTTTACAGTGCCAACATTGTGAAGTCAACATTTTGTTATGACTACCTCTCAATTGAACTTCTCTTTGCCCGATCCTAGGTTATTCCCTTCCCACTCAAGGGTTAATCCTGAGAAGACACCCTAATAACCTCCCTCATCTCCATTTTATCTCTATGTCAATAGTCTGCATGCCCTGTAAACCAGCCTTTTATACACACACATGATCTACATTAGCAAACACAATTTACACTATGAGCAGGTCAAAAGGAAAAGAAATATGAAATTATTTCAATCATCATTAAAAATGTTTTTCATAATTTACACCTCAAATACAAGCCTTTAATTAAATAGGACTAAAGGAAGTATATCTACACTGATTATAAAAGTCAGTTCATTAATTGGCAATAACTGGTATTAGTATTAATAATATTAGTTTTCCTGCAATTAAAACACAAAATGAAAACAACAGCTCGCTTGGTTACCGAATTCTTGGTGTTAACCTCATTCTAATTTAAGTTGCAATTTTTCTAATGACTAAAGACAGATTCCTTTACATGTACTCCTAGGCTATTCTTACTTATTCTTTACAAAGTGTCTGTTCAGTTTTTGTGCCCATTTTTCTTAGGTTATGTGATAGGTCCCACAATGTTCTAAGCAGGTCTTGAGTCAGTCTTGTAGACTTGCCGCTAAATGACTGACTCTTTTGGTGGCTTCATGACGCTCTTGAGAGAAAACAGAATAACTAGCATTGGTGATACCAACCCAGAGGAACAGACAAGCCTCCTAACAAGACTGTTATTTTTTTCATTTTTTGTTTGTTTTTTTGTTTGTTTGTTTGTTTGTTTGTTGAGACAGGGACTCACTATGTAGTTGAGACTGACCTGGAACTCACTATGTAGCCCAGGCTGGTCTTGAACTCACAGTGATCCTCCTGCCTCAGCCTCCTGAGTGCTGGGATTACAGGAGTGTGCCACCACGCCCAATTGAGATTGTCTTAAAAGCAGGAAAATGTGTTCATCCTTGACATACCTTCTGGCTCTGGGTTCTTCAATAACCAATGCAAGAGCCTTCCATTTTCAGAGAATGATGAGACTTTACTTCTGGATTTTTCTGGTTGAGTGGACCCTGGGCTGGCACTAGCCACATGAGTGTCTAGCCAGTGGACAGCCACTGAGAATGGTTATCATGTTCTTTGTTCTTGGACAAGAGTCTTTCTATTCCTTTTTTATAGAGTGGGGGGGAAGTCTCTAAAAAGCAAAATGCAAATGAGGATTAGCAGTAATCAACTCTAGAAATAAAGTCAATTCTCAGGGGTCTACAAAGCCTTTCCCTTCCCAGGCTTTGATATTACTAGCCAGCTGGAACACACACACACCTGAGACACAGCAGGAGGTGGATTTTGCAGAAATAATGCAAAGGCACAAGGGATGGAAATGATTCTGTCTCTTTAAGTCATCATCATGGGCCCTCCCTGAGCTTCCTGCCCTCTGAGGCTCAGTGACTTCCTCTGCACACTGGAGGAAAGAGCCTCCTGAACTCACAGCGGAAGGGAAAGCAGGAGGTAAGGGCCTCCAGAGCCCCTTCAGAGCCTGTCACCAGGAAAGGTGAGCGGGAGCCAGGGAGCTGGGAGCTGGGTGGGCGCCCTGAGACCAGAAAGCTGTGATTCCTGAAGAGGGCCTGCTGCCCAGACACCTGCATTCTAGCAGTGCCCTGTGGGTGAGCAGGATGCATGACAGTCAAGGTTGTGTTTCTAAGATCTTACAGATGTCCCATCCGAGTTTCAAATAGCGAGAGCTCAGAGGAAGTTTTAGGAGCATCTTCCCTGAGCACAAACCTTGTCAGGGAGTAAGACCTTCCTCTTCTTATACTTCCTAAATACAGTAAGAGAAGTGTGTTCTTGGCCCACTTCCCGGAACAACAAATAGTTTGAAAGACACGAAACATTCCCCATATCTGCAAAGGCAAAATGTTTCTGTGTTCGCATAAGCAATCTAACCTTGAGGCAAATTCCTATGTGACAAGTGTGGGTACAAGTGAACTCTCCCCTCCTCCTCCCCGTGCACAGTACAGGGCCCTCAGGTGACATCTCAGCTTAGGAACTTTGTCTTCAAACCCTTTCCCTCCATGTCCCTTAAAGTCTGCTCCCTAATTCAAGCTTCTCCTGCTCCATCTGGAGGGATGCCTCAATTGCCTCATCTGTACACTGCCATTTGAAAAACAACTGATTTCCAGACTCGGAGTTGTGGGCTAACTGTATCAGAAACATCCCAGTCACTGACTCTGAATCTCTGAAAAAGGGACCAAGCAATGTGATTTTCCACAGAACACTTAAGTAATTAGAAAATGGTGAGTTTGGGAGGCAAGGAACTGGATGAATTATGAGGTCTCAAACTATTAAGAATTAAAATTCTATCTGCTTTATACTCCTAATTAAGAAACTTGTATCACACCAGATTTCAGCTGGGCTTCTCTCTTTAAAACTGTTTAAAATCATTTCAGTGCCTTTTATAAACTGTGGGAAACTCTGTAGCTGACCCAAGTGGTCCCTCCACCCCCTCCTCATTTCCATCTTTGACAGAACTTTGTGCTCCAGCTGTATTCTTGTTCTCAGCTCTGCATCTTGTGGCTACTGCTTCATTTCTGCTCTTTGTATAGGCTGCAGGAGTTTGGGGGGACTTTACTGAAGCCTTGAGGAGGTGGCTGGGGAGTGACTGCAAAACAGGAACAGCTTCAGGTTGAACACTAGATAAACCTGTGCCCTAAGTCCCTTGGCCAGAGAGTTGTTCAGCCAAACTCTGCTTTTCTTCATGTATGTCACCAACAGGGGAGAACACATCGCCTGCAGTAGCTGAGGGAGACATAAAGAGGAAGAATTTGAAATGATGGGGAAGTGTAGATAAGAACAGAGACAGAAATGTGGGAGAGGATGAACAGTCATGGGGAGAAAGTACAGAGTACATAGGAAAGACCCTGAAGTCTGCTTATGAGGAGTAGCTGACTTCGTGGGGATTAGCCGTCAGAGTCTAGAGAAGCAGATTTAGAGGACACAGTACATCTGTGCTCGGGAACTTCTGGGATCAGGCAAATCTGATGGCAGGGGCTTCAGTTAATGTGAGAATTGGGCATCACGTCACTTAGAAAAGCCTCAGATTTGGAAGCAGGATCACCAGTGGTTGAAGGGAGTGCTCCAGTCCCTCCAGAACACAGGTTTCACACAGGCAGGTTTAGTGAAGCCAGCCACTCTGGCTTCAAAAGAGCAGAGGCAGATACTTTCCAGATCAGCTTGAGAGATAGGCATGTTCTATAGTTTCCAAAAAATGGTTATAATTTTTTCTTGTTTTCCAGGCCAAAAACCCTAAGATGGGTCCCTAAGTCGCCAAGTAAATTTTACAGTTCTCAGAGTTTACCTAACTGCTGAATCCCTAGAAAAAGTCTAATGTTTGCAGCTCTGTCACTGAGCTAAAATTACAGGGAAATGTTGACATCTGAAGACATTCATTGTGAAATCAATGTTATAACTCTTTTGCATTTTAAGTCCCTGAAAAAACAAATCCAAGCTCACAAAATGTTCACATGGTGTGATTACAACCCAAAGTCAGGATGTTGGCCAAGCTGCATGCTCCAAGGGGCAGAAGACATTTCTGTGGTCCCATAAACTATTTAACCTTGGGGTGGGTTACAATGTGACAAGTCTCAATACACCTGAACTCTCATGTTCCAGGTTCCCCTCAACTAATTATGAAAACACTTACATTATCTCTCAAAAATGTTAGCACAATTTCCTGTAATTGACATCATGTACCTGCCTTCTCGATAACCACCTGCCCTTCCCACAAAGCGTACACTTACATGTTCAGACCCTTGCAGGCAGGAGCCAGACCTGGGCACTTTGACATCACCAGGTCTTTATATAGTGTCGGTGTTACAGTCATTTGGAAGAATAAACACGTAAAAAAAGAATAAATCATGTTTGGGACTCTTTCAGGGAAGATGGGAGGTCGAAAGATGGCAAGGGATGAAGAAAACGCCTATGGTAAGAACATATCGCTGCAATTCGTCTTCCCCCAGGGTAAGAAAGGGAGGGGGGCTCACTCAGAACCACAGAGAAATCCCAGGGCATCAAGGCTGGAGGAAACAGCAGGAGCCTGGGATCTGTTTTTCTTTGGATCTCTACCCTGTCCAGCTGTGAGATGTTCTTTTTCAACTCACCTGCCCTGCAGTTCCCCTGTGATAAACACCTGCATTAATGCTCACATGCATTAACATGCGTTAATCCCATTGTGCAGAAGAGATTTAATGCAGACTGAGCACTTCCCCAAGGTTGCACAAGGAGCATGTGGTGGGCCATGATTTAGCCAACTGGCCGGGACTCCAGTGAGCCTTTGGCCATGGAGAAGGACTGTCCTTCCTTCTGGACTTTCCTCCGAGGCTGGTATCTGGGAGAGCGTGGCAGTCAGGTATGAAACAGGTCTGCCTGTGTAGGGGGTGATGGCAGACAATGTCAGGTGAAGCAATGTCGAGAGATGATAGAATGTACCTTCTAAAACCTTCAGCAGTAGTTGGAGCAGCAGCAGGGACAAATAGAAGAGCCAGACAGAGGCACCTAAAAGAGTTTAAAGCCAAGGAGCACTCTGAAGATCTAGTTTAAAAGAGGGAAAGTTCAAATCTCATTCTTCTCTTTTGTCCTGAAGATGAGAAAGCTTCAGCTCCCAAAGAGAAGTTGTTTAAATTGATGCATGAGGTGTGATTACAGTATATGGTGAACGTTTACATTTTAAAAACTCATTACACCTGTAATCCCAGCACTTGGCAGGCCGAGGCAGGAGGATTGCTGTGAGTTAGAGTGACCAGTGTGGGCTACAAAGTGAGTTCCAGGTCAGTCTCAACTACATAGTGAGACCCTGTCTCAAAAAACAAAAATAAAAACTCATTATAGTAAAAGACACATTACCATAAATCCTCCTCAGAATGCTCCTCTTGCTTTGAATACATTTATTCCATCATTTTTTATTCTTTCTGAAGCAGCTCTGGAAGTCCTCTTCCCTGAGTGTCTATGAGCTGTGATGAAAAACTTAGTAAATGCTGCTGCCTGGTGACATCCAAAAGAAAGGCAGGCTCATTGGAAAAAACATTACGATGTGTCCTCATCCGCCTTATTCACTGGATCTGGCAGGGTGTGACCTCTGCCTCCTCCCCAAAGTCAAGATGACCACAAAAAGTAGATGTTTTGACTCTAATCAGGACATCCAGGCAGCCACACAGAGAAACTAAAGACCTTCAAGAAAGAAGCCTTCCAGACATGCTTCAGAAAGTGGCAAGAAAGATGGGATAGGTGGGCCTGAAGCAAGGGGAAGGATTTCGGGGGAGATTCATGGCAATGTCTTTCACTGTTATAAATACTGTTAATTTATTTTTTTCTTCATTGAGTTTATTGGTACATTTTAGGTATACAGTACAGTTACATTCATCATTGGGATCTGTACCTTTACATGACAGGTCTTGGTTCTCAGTTTTTCCCCTTATCCCTGTCCTTCCTTCACCCCCTCCTCCCTTCCCTCTTTAAATATTGTTGATTTAAACACTCGCTGTACTTGCTGACCACATTCGGTATGATTATAACATTTTGCACTCCCAGGTTCCGAAGATGAGCCCGGGTCCCTGCAGGAGCCTCAGCTGAGGCTCATCCTGGTGGGCAGAACTGGCACCGGCAAGAGTGCCACAGGGAACAGCATCCTGGGCCACAGGCACTTCCTCTCCAGGCTCGGAGCCACAGCCGTGACCAGGGCCTGCGCCACCGCCAGCCGGAAGTGGGGCCGGTGGCACGTGGACATCGTGGACACCCCAGACATTTTCTGCTCCGAAGTCCACAGGACAGACCCTGCGTACACAGAGAGAGGGCGCTGCTACCTGCTTTCTGCCCCCGGGCCACACGCGCTGCTCCTGGTGACCCAGCTGGGCCGCTACACGGCCCAGGACCAGGAGGCGCTGAGGAAGGTGAAGGAGATGTTCGGAAAGGACGTGATAGCTCAAACTGTAGTCGTCTTCACCAGGAAGGAAGACCTGGCCGGAGGCTCTCTGCAGGATTACTTGCGCTATTCAGAGAACCCGGCCCTGCGGAAGATGGTGGCAGAGTGTGGGGGTCGAGTCTGCGCCTTGGACAACAGGGCCACGGGCAAGGAGCGGGAGGCCCAGGTGGAGGAGCTGCTGCGCCTGGTTGAGGGCCTGGTGCGGGAGCGCGGGAGCGCGTACTACACCAACCAGGTTTATGGCCTGGTGCACGCGCTGCGCGGGGCGCCCCTGGAGGAGCAGCTCCGAAGGGTGACTGAGAAGGTGTCGGCTCACATGCACCGGCCTCCCGGAGTCAGGCTCCTGGCCAAGCTGTGGGAGTGGCCCAAGTCCCACTGGACCGGCAGGAGACGAGGCGTGGCCATCCTGCTGGGAGTCGCCCTCCTGGTCTATGTGCTATTCTACAGGCACACACCCCAGCCCCTTGTTGGGTGACCTGAACATTAGGTAACACAGGTCTTAAAAGTCTCAATAACTTGGGGGAAAAAGGGACTGATTAAGTGCTGAAGGGGAAGATTAGAACTTCATCCCAAAGACACCTTTGGAGAGGTGAGAAAGTTGAAGCATTGTGTCAACTTTGCCAACCCTCAAAACTCACTTTGAAGTGTTTTAAGTCTTGACTTTTAACCATATGTAAGCAGGGAGAGATATAACTGTAGTGGGGAAATTACATAAAGAGAGATTCTTTCTGATAAAAGAAGTCCTGATAATGGAAAAAAGGGGCAAGTATGCAGACTGAAAGCCACAGACCCTTAAGTGCAACTTGGTGCAGCTGTAACACTGGGTTCTAAAGAATGGGCCAGTTCACAAAGGTTCGTGAGTGCTGTGTCATTACAGAGTTGGATGCTGACTGGTTGTGCAAAGCAAACAATAGGGTTTCCTTATTTCAAAGCATACCAAGAACCATTTAAGGGCAGCCATTGTCTCTAAAACAGCTAACCTCCAGCCAGCAGGTGCAGACACTTATGCCTAATCATCTGGAAGAGGAAGGGAGCTGTGCACAGGAGTTCTAGGACCTTTTTCCACCCCTGGTTAGGAAGCAGGGAACTAGCACATGCACATAAGTGTCACATCCAATTAAGGGTCTCTGGAGGCTTGGGGGGGTCACAGGCTTAGATGAACTGTGGCCAGGTTGCACGAGGCCCATGATGGCCGCTGCAGTGAGCTGAGCACTGTGAAGAATGGCTGGAGAAAAATCCACTCTTAATTCCATCCTTTAGCCTCCCAGGAGCCTTGCTGGGTCAACACAGGGGCCAAGCTAGGGGGTGACCTTTGATGATCTGAGCAGGCACCAGCATCAGGCTAAGGGAAGGGCCTCAGTGTGGTGGCCCAGGAGCTGCCTGCTCCAAGCTCATGCTGTCCTGGGCCGAGGTCCACTTGCCAGCTGGGCTAATGTCAACCAGTTCTTTCATTTTTTTCTGAAGTCTCACACGTGTCCACAAAGGCTCTCTGATGTTTGTCATTATTGTTTCTGTCTTGTTGTAAACCTAAATATGATTTTAAAAATGAATATTATGATTTTTAAATTCTTTGTAGACCTTAGTGTATGAAATATACCTGGATCAAAGGAAGGTTTGCCATTTGAGGGTACATTGACCAAGTTGGAGCATCATCCCACATGGTAGGGACTGTGAAGGGCACAGGCTGATGGGCACATGACCTGAGGTGCTCTGAGACCTGGGCTAAAGTTTTCGCTGAAATGTACATATTAATATGAATCTTTATAGTTTACACACGTGTGATGAAATAATATGAATGAAAGCCTTTTCTAGATTTAATTCCATAAGAATACAGTACAGTAGCAAAGTATCTAAGACATCATTTTTGTTATAAACGCGTGTGTGTGTGTGTGTGTGTGTGTGTGTGTGTAGTCTAGTAATAACATAAGGGCAGTATCTTACTCACTTTCATTATTGCTGGGACAAAACATCTAATACAAATTAAAGGAGGAAAGGTTTATTTTGGCTCACATGTTAGAAATTTCATATTTGACAGACTTAAATATAGAAACCACATGGTGACCCCATCCCTATGACACAGCCTGTTGCAGTTTTCATGGACTCTCTTTTAGGGTGACTTTGTTCTCTGCCTGCTTTTTTCAGCTGACATTTTAACTTCTTGCCATCTCCAACTTCCTGAGTTCTCCACTGCACCTTTGGCTTCACCCTGACAGATTCACACATTGCCCTCTCAGGGGCAACCACCTGGCCTTCCAAGACTTCTTCTGAAAAATGGGTGAAAGCCTCCCTCACCCCACAACTCTTGCATTTTGTATGTCTGTAAAATCAGGACCATGTAGATGACTCCAAGTTCTGCTGCCAGTTCCTTGATTATAGCTGCAGAGGCTTCTTCTGAGTGTCTGAGTGGTTGAGCTCCAGGGAACTCCTTCCCATTTGGTACATAATGAGCTGGGTTTCCTGGGGCTTTCTTCTCAAAGCAAAGTCTTTCACTTTTGTAGGGTGAGGATTGGGGTCTTACTGTTTCCCAGGATGTCCTCAAAGCATACTTCTTACTGTCCTGATGCAAAATACTTGGCTTTTTAAAAATGTTCATCTTTTCAGCAACCAAACTGTCCTGGGCCAAAATTTTACTGGCCCCAAATTTACAGGCGCATCCATTCTAATGAAACTCAAAACATTTACAGTCACTCAGCTCTGCTGTTTGCTCTTGAGTCTCAATGAAGAACTGGCTAAAAGTCCACAGCTATACCCATGTCACAACCTGAAAGTGGATTGTCTTGAACTTCCCTCCATTGGATTAATTACTCCACCACTTCTAATCTTAATTTTCCACAAAGTCTAAGCACATGAGCAAAATGTTGGAAAATTTTCTGCCAGCACATAACACTCCTGCTCTCAAGTCAAACTGCCAACGGAGTTCTTGTTCCCAACTGAAATCTCTTAAGCCCGGCCTCTACCATTTTTCTTTTTATTCTGATCTTCTGAGCTCTGACCAGAGTTTCCCATCAAGCTCTGGTTACAACATTTTAGGGCTTCTCTATCCAACAACTCTAAACCTTTCCAAATTCTTCCCATGAACCAGATCCAAAGGCTTCTAACCCACGTGGTCAGGTACATTCACAGCACCAACCCTATTCCTGAAACCAAAATCTGCCTTAGTCACTTTTCTACTTGCTAGGACAAAATACTCAATATCTGTAACTTAAAGGAGAGGTTTATTTTTAATAAATATTTTAGAAATTTCACTCTATGTTTGGTAGGCCCAAACATAGAAAGCCCATGATAGACGGATCTAGGCACAGGAAAGCCGTTCCTGTCACAACAGCCAGGAAGCAGAGAAGAAAGGGAGGAGCCAGGGAGGGATACATAACCTTCCTGGTCACATCCTCCATGATCCACCTCTGCCCAGGGCCCAGCTCATAACAACAAATCAGTTGTGGCAACCCCATAGTTCAGTCACCTTCCAAAAGCCTTCCTCGGAGGCCCTTGAGGGGACATTCTTCATAGAAACCATAACAGTCAGAATGTGATTGTTAAATACATTTACAAAGTGCAACCAAAAATGTATTTTTCCTTAAATGTCACTAATTAGTAATCCTTAGGTTTAGAAAAATACAAAGTAATAGGTACATGTGAAAGACATTTAACTTTATCTTTCAAAATATAATTTCATGTTATATATATACACATATATGATAAAACAAAATGCCAGGGAATATGAAATAAAAGCTATAGACATAATGCTTTAATATGATAATATTAAATGATAATGTGATAATAATTCATACCTTATGATATGATGATAACTTCATACCTTATAATGAAAACAAGTAATGAGGTGGGTTTTTTTGCAACTTCTTTAATGTTCGGGTACCTTTGACTAAGATTCTCTATGAATTTTAGAAAGACAGAAACTTGGGCCTCAAAGATCAAGTTCTACTGTGAAGAAATATCTTTATAAAATAAGTCTGAAATTCTCCAACTAACCAAAAGCTGTGAGACTGAGTTTGTAATAATCTTGGTATTTGACTCTTCATAGGTTTTCAAGCAACTGCCATGATAGGACTCTAACTTAATTTGGGTAAGAGCCTAGCTACAACTTGGAATTTGGTGGTTTTGTAAGGCAATCAAGACAAAAGTAAACAATCAAAATACACTCAAACTGGAGAATTTCTCCCCCACCTTACTTTTAGAATGGATTCCAAAGTACTAACTCTCAAATGTCAATCATCCATTCTGTATATATGAGCATTTACACTTCATTAAAAAAAGATTTTAATTGCCAATTATTTTTTTGCCCTTTAAGATAAGTCCTTGGGGCCAGGGATTTAGCTCAGTGGTTCCACTGCCTACCTTGCAAGCACAAGGTCCAGAGTTCAATCCCTTGTACCAAAAACAAACAAACAAACAAACAAAAGATAAGAGAACCAAGACCTGTCACGTAATGGTACAAGATCCCAATGATGAATGTAACTGCATTGCACACCTAAAATGTACCAATAAACTCAATGAGAAAATAAAATAAAATAAAACAAGATACCTAAAAAAAAAAAAGATAAAAGTCTGTTAGGGCCAGGGATTTAGCTCAGTGGTTCCAGCACCTGCCTCACAAGGGCCCAAGTTCAATCTTCGGCACAAAAAAAAAGGTCTATTAAAAAGTTTCTTACCTGGTTCCACCACCTGCTCCACAAGGTCCCAGGTTAGATCCTTGATACCAAAAAAAGAAAAAGAGAAAAAAGAAAGAAAAGAAAAGGAAAAGCTTTTGCCTTTTGACAATCTGGGAATGCTTTCTCAAGCCCCTGGAGTCATCATTTTGAAATGCAAATCTAGGATTCTCCAGACACCAGAAGTAGGAATCTAATTTAATTTGGTTAAGAGCTTCACTTTTACACTCCAAGTTGCAAAATTTTCTCTGGCCATAAGAACATGAGGTTTATTTTCCTCTGGACAAAGGCAATTAGCTAACACAGATTGTCACAATGTAAATTTAAGATGAATTTCCATTTGACCCAGCTATCCCTCTTCCAGGTATCTTCCTAAAAGAGTTAAAGAAGGGCCGGGGATTTAGCTCAGCGGTTCGGTGGCCTGCCTTGCAAGCACAAGGACCCGAGTTCAATCCCCAGTACAAAAAAAAAAAAAGAAAAGAAAAGAAAGAAAGAAAAGAGTCAAAGACATCATATTATAGTGATACTTGAAATACTTATGTTTACAGCAGCATAATTCATAATAATCTTGGAAGCAGCCTATATGTCCATCAGCAGATAAATGGATGAAGAAAATGTGAGATTTACACACAATGGAGCACTACTCTGCCATAAAGAAAGACAAACTTGAGTTGTCTGTAGGAAAATGGATGCACCTTGAGACCATAATGTTAAGGGGAAATACATTAGACACAGAAGCCTAAGTATCTCATGGTCTCTCTTACATGAGAAACCCAAACTTTAAATAAAGAGCAAAATAAAACATAA